CATCTTTCTCTAGGTGGTTAAGCCTAATTTAGCGAGCATGAGGCTCTGATACCAATTGAAAGGATCAAGATGCTCAAGAGGGCGGGGGTGAATTAGGCTAATCCTAAAATTCATTGCAATAATTAAACCCTACACTTAGCCCACTTCACCCCTTATGCCTAGAATATGTTTCTATTGTTCTACCGCACAAAAGTTTTGCACCCTAGGTTCTAATCCTACTCTAGCATAGCAATTCTAAGAATATAAAGACAAAAAATGAATTGCTAAAATGTAAATGTTCAAAGTAAAGAGAGAAAAAGGAACGCGGTGATGTTTTCCTGAGGTATCAAAGAGTCGCCACTCCCCACTAGTCCTCGTTGGAGCACCCACGTAAGGGTGTAGCTTCCCCTTGATCCGCGCAAGGATCAAGTGTTCTCTACGGGCTGATTATTCGACACTCCATCGTGGTGAATCACCCACAACCGCTCAGAACTTGAGTTGGGTCATCCACAAGCTCCGCCGGATGATCACCAAACTCTCAATCACCACCGAGCCATCTAGGTGATGGCGATCACCAAGAGTAACAATCACAAACTCTCACTTGACCATGACAAGCCTAATGAGAAGGGTGGATGCACACTTGCTACTCTCCTTACACTAATGAGGACCTTAATCTTGGATTCTCAAATCTCAATTACCGCACTAGGCTCTTGCTCTCCTTTGCACTCTCAAGGGTGTTTCTCAGCTGAATAAATGGGCAAGAGACCTCCCTTGGATAAGTGGAGTAAGTATTTATACCCCTCATTCAAAACATAACGTTTGGAGACCAAGTCAGCGTTCTATGGGGTGACCGGACGCTCCGATCAGTGTGACTGGATGCTCCAGTTAGTTATACCCTCCACTGTGTCAGAAAGAGCCGTTAAGTTCTGACCGAACTCTGACCAGCGTCCGGTCAAGAAAATTGTTCTCTAGAACCTTACTGATGTTGACCGGACGCTGGTACCCAGAGTCCGGTCACTTCACTGCTCAGCGTCCGGTCAGTTACCGGATCCTGACCAGCGTCCGGTCAGCACTGACCGGACGCGTCCGATCAAGAAAATCCTTCTCTGGAACCTCTCTGGAGTTGACCGGACGCGGGCACCCAGCGTCCGGTCCACTTTCACTCAGCGTTGTCTGGTCAGTACCAGACGACTTCATTAGATCAAATGAACTGACCAGACTCACCCTCCAGCGTCCGGTCACAACCAGACTAGCGTCTAGTCAATCATTTGACCCTCCATTCACTTTCATCTCGAAATCCTATGTGAATGAAGTTTGCTCCAATTGATCTTAGGGCTATTCCTGAGCTACCTAGTGCTAGGTTTGACAAGTGTGCACCACACCTAACCCACTAGACTTACCTAGATCAAGCTACTAGTCCATACCCCCCCTTAATAGCATGGCTAAAGGAAAAACAAAGTCCTAAACTACTCTAAGTGTCTCTCCATCACTAAATGACACTTAGAACTAGTCCATCATTAACCTTGTCATTCATCCTTTGAAAACCAAAATGATTTCCATCGATAGGGGCATGACAACCATGATTGTCTAATCAATTGCCATTACCATGACCTAACTCAAATTGCCTCTGCAAAACACACGTTAGTCATAGTAATCTCGTGTCGTCATTAATCACCGAAACCCAACTAGGGGCCTAGATGCTTTCAGCAGGGTTTAAGTAAGCATGAACAAATAGATAGGGAAAAAATCTTCTATGAGCACTTTCATTTCCCACTACTTTGTAGCTAGTAGTTATAGGATGTGCTCATAACCGAGAGTGCAGTATTCGAATAATAATCACTTTCAAGACTCCACAGAGGGGTACATGTTTTACCCACTCAAGAGTGAGGATCCAACCCATACGACCTATCAGTGCATCAGGAGTATCTCGCACCTAAACCTTTCTCAAGCCCGGCCAAATCGCCCATGAACGGTTTGAGATGGCATGGGGTACTATCTCTCTAGCTACCCCATGCCCCAAGGTGTGATGAATCTACAAGGTTATCCGGTCACAACAAGATACTCAGCCTACCATCCCCATCCATGGCAAGTGATTTGTACAAGTGGTGCTCAAGAGCTACCACAGTAGATGCAACGGTCCTTAACCGGCTAAGCAAGTTATGCCATTCAAGATATTGTCTCGCCATGACCCTACCCATCGCCCGCCTTAATCATATTCATTATCTTGGTTTTAGATACAACGAGCTCCTTCATAGTCCAAAATTCCAAGCCACTGACCATGTGCTCCTAGATTTCCCCTCCCTTTCGCTGCCTTGGTTGTGTGCGGCGTGGCATTTTAATGGTTTTCCTTTTTCTTTTTCACTTTCTCATCAAGATCAAGATAAATTAATCGATGACATGGGTGCACCATCAGTGATCAATTCAACTCAACGAGACAGGACGACGGCGGCCCCAGCGTGAGCATGACGGAGCTATCTGCACTAGCCGGTGGTTGTCTTTCCCTGAGTTCCCTTTCCCTCCTTTCTACCGATGACATTGTGGCATTTTTGTAAATATCAGCCCCACCATAGGAAATAAAGAGAACATACTCTCCCACATCCCCTATAAAAGTGGGAGAGGGGGAGGGGGAAAGGGGACTCGGCTCTCTTCCTTCCTCTCTCATTCGCTCTCTCACCCTTCGCTCTCCCAAGTTTGTTGAATAAACCAACACTAGATGATGTGCAGAAATGCAAATGCATGACTATGAAGAAAGAGCAATACATGAGCCGATATTTCTCTAGCTTACATACCACTGCTATCTTCTCCCTTCTCTGATGTGCCCAACTCCCTATAAAATTCGGAAAACATCAGAAAATGTTATTTTTCATACTTGGCCTGAGCACGGTGGCAAAACATGTTGTGTTGTCTTTGATTATAGTGTTCTCAAGAACTATGACCACTCAATGGATGGAGAAATATAAGTGGCTCTCTGTGCCATGGTAGAATCAACAGCTTTTCTGATATACAACATGTCCGCAACTCGTCTTCCCAAGGAGGTTGCTAGGAGGGTGTAAAGTAGGGTAAATACCCTTGTCCCATGCTACTTGTTTGTTTGCACGTTTTTGTTTTCCCCATACCTTTGCTTATTCCTTTTATCTTCTGTGTTAACTATTATTTGATTCATCTATTACAATTACAAAGTATTTAATATTCGCTTAAACAGAGATGTAACCGCCTTTAAGAATTGTGAGTTTTATTAACTTGTGGGTTCAGTTCCGGGTGAGATTCCATTGGATGGTTGTGAAAAACACGAATTATGGATAGATGGCTGGCTGACAGAGGAAAGGACTAAATTATGAAGGAACCTAGCTATGTTTAATTTATGCTAAGTCTGATTTAGTATAATGAGATCACTGATTGATTAAACCTGGTTTTGTTGCCATAGGTTGGCTTGGTTTGTCTTAAGAAAGAAACTTAGATAAGTTTAACTTATGCTATGCTTGATTTACTGTAATGAGATTATAGTTATTTATGTGCGAATCTGGATGATGAAACCTGGTTTGGTGCCACATATGGTTGGGTTTATCCAATCATCTATCTGGTTGGAACGGTACTCTGCTTTGCTCTGTAGTAGTCATTTATGGTTGTGCTTCTGATCATTTGTTCGATAAAAAAATAGTTCATTCACTAAATAAGTAGAGTTCCTAACTTGAACTATTCTGAATGTCGGATATCTAAGGATTCTAGGTTGACACCAAGTACGAAAATTGAGACATGCTAGAGGCAGGATGAAGCTTCTAGTGCATTGTATGTTCAATGACAAATCACTGCTACACAGTCATCATTCGTAGAGGTGACGCTGAGGCCGCTTGCGTGGGCCACCTAACCGTTGGACTAACATCGTAGGATAGCGGGCCTGCAGGTGGCATGGGGTTACTTTAGATTTTGCTTCGTAATGGCAGATGTTGGGTGATTATTTGGAAAACATAATAGTAGATTAAATATGTTTATTGTTGTCAGTGGTAATTACAATATACTAGCTTTCTGATTTCTATGAAATTTTTTTAGGATTTGTTTATTTCTATTGTTTTCTTGTGACAATCCAATTGAAGAACTTCGAGGCTCCGTTGGCAATAGTAATATAGAAAGTCGGTGCCCTTTTTGGGTTCTCTGTTGCATTTTGGTTCCTGTTGGCACGTTGCTTTCCTTCTTTTCATCTTCTTCCTGTTGCATTTTCCTGTAGCTAGGCACCATTATCTTTAGATGTGTTCCAACTCTGCATATGTTCCGTCTTGAGCGATGCAACTTGAAGGAGCTATTCCCACGGCTGTGTCGACCATCTGCTGATCAAGCGTCACGCACGCGTGAAACGCCGCCGTGATCTCGTTATCAGGCAATACCCCTCTTTTTGCACGAGAAGGAAGAACAGATGCCTGCCCTGCAAGCTGCTCTTCCACTTTGATTCCATCCCCTTGCTTCTGAGCCACGCCTGGTACTGGTAGTCTTCATACATTTTCAGTTACGAAGTACTCAAGTACATGACCCAAATTGTGTTTACATCACTACATCATGTACAAATACAGCACAAGTTCAGCCCTTGCTGAATATCTTCTTTTGTATAAAGGACTTCAGCACCAGCATCAGTAGTATACAAGTAAGTTTCGTTACTGATGATGATGATTACTGAAAGGTCATGGTCAGGAGAGGAGCTAGCACTCACGCTTTTATCCCTTCGGTTGGTTAGTGCTTCTCACTTGCTTTGAGAGCGCTTTCTGTCCTCGCCGTCCTCCAATAATGCTGTGCCCGTCCCACTTCTCTTTTCTAGCTGCCTGTTGCCAGTCTGATGAGTGATCAGTGATCACCTTTGGGCTCTGGTCTTGGTTTTCTCCTATCTATCAATCCGCTTGCCGCTGGGTGGTGTGATGGTGTCCCACATGTCCAACTGCAGCAACATCACGGCCGCGGCCGCGCCCGAGGCGCCGCGCGCGCCGCCGTCGCCGTCGTCGCCGCTGGACTACGACGTGGTGGTGATCCTGGCGGCGATGCTGTGCGCGCTGGTGTGTGCGCTGGGGCTCAACTCGATGCTGCAGTGCGTGGTGCGGTGCACCCGCCGCGCCGTGTCCGACCCCGTCGGCTGGGTCGCGCACCGCCGCGCCAACGCCGGGCTCAAGCGCGAGGAAGTCGTCGCGCTGCCCGTGGCCACCTACGTCGCCTCGCCGTCGCCGGCCGCGGCGGGGGCGGGGCGCTCTCCGGCGCAGCAGCAGCACGCGCCCGCGAGGTGCGCCATCTGCCTGTCGGACTTCGCGGACGGCGAGAGGATCCGGGTGCTCCCTGTGTGCGGCCACCGGTTCCACGTCGTGTGCATCGACAGGTGGCTCGTCTCGCACTGCTCCTGCCCGACGTGCCGGCGCCGCCTCTCCTCCCACTCCGCCGTCGGTGGTCACGACCGCCTGCAGGTTCTGACGGCTGTGTGATCGATCAATCGGCATTGCTTCTCTCTCTCTCTCTCTCGATCATGCCTTCCGGCATATGCGTAACGTATCTTCAGTGTGACTACTCCTGCATGGTCATCCGGTAACCTGTAACCTGTTCAATGGCAAACTTTGCCATCTTGCATGAGAGATCCTTGCTTTTTTTTACGCACCACTGTATGTATGAGATGTTCACCGCTCCTCTCTGTTACACATTTACTGCATTACAGTGTGACAAACTTTCAAATGATGCTTGATTTTCAACAACCATTTCATTTTTGACGCTTACAGAGTGTGCACTTTTCTGACCATACCTTGATGGCTTGATGCAACAAACATGAACATAATCCTTTCCTCTAACCAGTTACCCGTGTAGTTTTGAACATCGACACAGTCACCAGTGCACATCATGGATACACTCATGTGGTGGTGGTGGTGGAGTCGTTGGTGCATGACTTCCACTTGACAAGGCTCAAATCAAATTCTAGTGTTCACATATCGGACGTACATAAATGCCAAGTTTGTTGTGGAGGCCGGAAGTTGTACTTTCTTTATTTAAAAATGTACTTTATATAAAATGTGTGCAAAATCTGCCAAAGCTGTAATACTTTGAAATTACATAATTCTACCATTCTAAAATTTTCAATTGTTTGGTGCACACCCTACCTCCCAGCGTTGGTTGTGGAACACTAAATTTCGAAAAAAAAGCCTTCGCGAGGAGACGAGAAAAAGGATAACATTATCTTCAAAGCCACTAGGGTTCGATTCCTAAGTGCTTTTAGCAGGTTTATTTTGTAGGCATGTCCATAAGGATGCAAACGGATCGGATACGGACGAACATCGTTGATATTACATTTATTTTCATATTTCTATTCAGATTCGGATTTGAATAAGGATAGTATTAGCTACGTGAGATAGAATACGAATGGATTTCGACATCATAATAAATATGCAATTTGACAGATACGGTATCGGATGTTGAATATCTGGATTCGGATATGGACGGATCTGAACTCCTCTAAACGGATTTGGACTCGGATACGGTCGAAAAATATGGGTGTGATTGGTTGCCCGAACCGGACCGTCATATGGCCCATCCCGCACCCTTTGGTGCATTTCGCCCGTGTTTGGTTGCCCTACTCGTACTTTTCTCCTGCTTCCTCTCGTGCAGATGCCCTCCTCCATCCTGGACGGCGCTGTCTTCTCGATCCTCACTTCCTTCTCGGTGTAGGCTCGCGCGGTGCTTGGCGGGAACCTTTTCGGAGAGCGCGGGAGATAAGGCCGTCCTGGCGATAAAAGCGCGTGCGGGTCGCGGCTAGGGTTACCGCCCTCACTCTTCGCCTCTCCTTCCGCCATAGCTCTGGTGCGAACTCCCTTCTAGCTCCCCCTCGACCTTGGTAGCCCTACCGAGGCGACCACCGCCGGCGGATTTCTTTCTGTCCTCCGGCGCTTCGACGGTATATGCCACCTGCGCTCTTGCCCTCCTCCTTCAGTGTCGATTTTGTTGATTTGTCTGTGGATATGCCACCTGCGCTCTTCTCCACATTTATGTTCTTATTTGTCACCTGGGATGATTGCATATGTTCTCAAGTTTGTTTGCAGTTAGCTGAGGCATGCATTGTTTCTAATCTCTATCTGGACCGAGGCTACTACAATTGTGAGATTTTTTTTCATGCCTACGATGATAACAGTGCCGGTTTGAGTAATGAATTATAAAAACCGATGACCTTGGACTTGTGAGGTACTGGAGCATTATTTCTTCTATCTTCTACTTATGGTTCCTTGCCTGTCATGATGTTGGGTTTGTACTATCTGTTTAAGGTTTGCTGCTGTCTATGTTCCTTAAGCTCCAAGTGCAAGGTCAAATGAGATGGTAATTAAATCTGAGGCAAATCGATTGAACTAACCCTCATCTTATCAACATCTTATACTTGGTTTTATGTGTTTTTTAAGGGGCACATGGCTTGGTATGTTGTCTATCGGGGAAATGAGCCTGGGGTCTATGCAACCTGGCCTACATGCCATGCCCAGGTATCTGGTTTTGCAAACTGCTGCTACAAGAGTTTTGCAACCAAAGAAGAGGCAGTAGCATCATATCTGGAATACAGGGGTTGTGAAGATGATGCAAAAGTGTTTGTGAAACCTCCTTGCAGTGCTTCGGGCAACCAATCAAGCCCTAAAATACCTTGGTTACTGGCTATTGCTTTGGTTCAGTCGTTTCTTTTGATGGTGCTTGTCTTTTTCATTGCTAAGCATTGTTGTAGGTGCCTCTAATTGTTTCATATTGCTTGTGATGGTTTCAAAATGCCATGAACACGTGTAAAGACAATGACCTTGTGAGGAACTTTGACTTTTGTTGTTCATGATTTGCTGGAAGTACTATTGTCAGGTTTACTTATGTCATTAGAAGCTCCAAGGTCATTGTCAATGTCAAGCTTGTTGAACTGAGGCAAAGTTATCTCTGTTTTCTTCTATTGTTTTTCATTCTGCAATAGCTGGTGGTAACCACACCAAAACGGTACACGGGTGCTCGCACCCCAGGCCGTGCGCCCAACCAAACACAAACGCTACCGCCACTTCATACAACAAAACGATCAACGGGGGCAACCAAACAGAATCAATGTCATCCAGGACAGCTAAGCTAAACCAAACCAAACAAAGGTGGATGAATGCTTTTATGCCGGCTGAAAAGAGACCGGACAGGGCCACCATCCCAGACCGCCGACCTCGGAGCAACCAATCATGCCGTATATGTACCATTTGTATCCCTACATGTCCTCGCACTCACCTATATGCCATTGTGCTGTGTTCAATGTGTCTTATATTGTAATAAAAAAAACATTGAACACTTGTCTCGGAGGCCAAAATGCAGAAGGTGAGCATAGTTAACTATCTCGTCTTTCGTACATTTTCGTTACCATGCTAGCACGCCATTCAATTTTTTTAGACGTGCACGTATATTAAGATTCAAACATCAAAATTATTAATTTTATAAGAGCATGACTAACAATATACAACCTGTTCGGGAGGCCGTATCGTATCGTGATTATTTACTGCTGGCTGGTTTGGTGTAAAAGAAAAACACTGTTCTCGGCTGAAAATTTACGATCGTTTACGAGCAAGCGAACAGGCTTAGTCCGATTGAATGTACACATGTGCTAGGTCCCATAATAAAATCTTGTTGAGAAAATAACGCATGCACATTGGCAACAAGCTAGCCCTGGGCATTGTGGTATGAACTACGAACAAACAAATAGTAGCTACGAAAAATACAACCAATGCCTGCAAGTCAGCTCTCGTGAGAGATGACAGGAGAAAGGAGGGCAAATTTCGAGGCGATTCCCGTGCTATCTTGGGGGGAGTGAACGTGATGCTCCTCCACTACACGAACCACTTGAGGCCTGCTGGAGTCGGGAATGGGATGTGATGAGGAAGGCGACGCGGCCGCCGGGCGCCGGTTGTTTTCATTGGCTCGCCGCTCCTGAATTTGCCATAGCGGATGGGTCAACATCATCATCAGGATTGGCCCCAACAATCGAATTTTAAGTTAGCTTTAAACATTTTTTTTATATTTTAATAGAAGAGAAAGAAAAACTAGCTCAACTCTTGATAAGAGCTAAACTCTTACACACATTTCAGTGTTAATATATGAGAGAGTTATGTGAGACTATCAATGTAAAAACTACATGCTAAAGTTAGTACTATTGAAGAAGTTATCTTAGAGTTGAGCCCTCGTGGTTTCAACTGTGGCAAGTCATGGGCCACGGGGACAAAGCGTTGGTGCACGAATTGTGAATTGTGATGCCTCGGTGCTTGGCTGTTGGCTCTCGATATGCGGCCAATCGCAGCAGTGCACGCCAGAAACAATTCTGTTCCGACAGCTGTGAGGAATAGATGCCACGACACATTGAGAACACCAACACTCGCGTGACCCAGCACGAAATGGAACTGTACGATGAACAAGACCTACTCCACAGGGCTATATAACTTGCCACTCGACGATTCGACAGGAAATAAATATGCCCATACCATCACATAACCATACGCTCATCGGCCCCGCGGCCTCGTTCGCTTAGCTGAAAAAACAAAATGAAACACTGTTCTGGCTGATTTGTTGCGAGAAAAAAACGCTGTTCCGACTAAAAAAATAAGCTGAAAAGTATGGATTATACGAAAAGCGAACAGGACCGATCCTTAGCGTTCAGCCGTTCACTGTATAAGGGCGCGTTTAGATGCAAAAAGTTTTGGGTTTTGGCTACTATAGCACTTTCGTTTGTATTTGACAATTAGTGTATAATTATGGACTAATTAGATTCGAAAGTTTCGTCTCGCGATTTCTCACCTAACTGTACAATTAGTTTTTTTTCGTCTACATTTAGTACTCCATGCATAAGCATGTACCACAAGATTCGATGTGATTGATACTACACAAAAAAAAAATTTGGAACTAAACAGCCCTAACTTATTCCGAATTTTGGGAAGGACCACCAAAATTGCAGCCTTCTCATCCTATATACACTGTGTTGTCAAGGCATCAGTGCTTGGAATTGACAAGAGCCATGTGCCCGATCAGATCAAGGACCCGGTTGCTGCAGCAAATTAAAACAAAACCATCCTCAGGACAAACAGAAACGGGTACAACCCATATAGTTAAAATGCTGAAACACTCATCAAATCGATCTGGAGAGTGGAGACTCACCTAGCATCACCGACAAAATCATTTGAAACAACGTCCTCATCCGTGTAGCCTAAAATGCCCTTTTGTGCGCCCTCTGATGCTGCCCTGAAAACAAAGACCACAGAATGCATGGGTGTGCATGACATCAGACTGATAAGTTTTCACTAGACGCAGGGTTGGTGGCATGATTTGATCATTCGGTTGAAGGAACTAATTTTGAATTTAATTTTGTATTGAAACTCTAACAGCTTCAAAGTAATTAAAGAACATTTCCTGTTTTTCTTCATTGTTCCAAGGTATCAACCCGACTTCTCTGCCACTACCTCATCGTGGACACTGATAGAACCAACCGATGACTCCATCAGTAGATCCTCATTTGAAAGCCTACCCACCCAGGATCAAACCCAGGTGCTCACAGGTGCGTGAGTACCTCCCTTAAGGCTTGTACTCTTCTATTAGGACAAAGCCTGGGGGAAGGTTTTTATCATGGGTATTCGGAAGATATATTAAAACATTTGGTTTGTGTACATAACATTCCTTCTCTTACTTTCTCCTCAAACAACATTTATGTCAAACAAATTGTAGCTCTCCTATACTTTACAGTTAGAAAAGCTGAATTTATCAATACTGTGAAGTCTGTTAGTTTCACCGATTGCATAGCCAAATCCTAATTGATAAAAAAAAGGCTTCTAATGGCACAGTGGAGCAGCACAAAAGTCCAGCCAAACTTGGTTACAGAGAATGTACTGCTCAAACAAAGAATGTAATCAACAATTAAGTATTGCAAGGTGCAAGAACAAAATAAATTCAGTTTGCATACTTGATAGCGGCTTTCACATCTTCATAGGAAGCACTTTTCTCAATCCGGCAAGTCAAGTCGACGACAGATACATTTGGTGTTGGCACTCAGAAGGCCATACCAGTGAGTTTTCCATTTAATGCAGGAAGGACCTTCCCAACAGCCTGGAAGATAGCAAAGAGATAGAACATAAGAAATCCGTACAAAGGAAGTTTCCAGTCTCTTCCTTTGAGTTGAGATAAACCTTTGCTGCACCAGTAAAGCTAGGGATGACGTTTTGACCAGGACCATGTCCTCCCCTCCAATCTTTCATTGAAGGACCATCAACAGTCTTTTGGGTGGCTGAACACATGCAAAACAAAGTTATGGTAATTGTAACTTACAACTCAGCAGTCTCCCATGTCTCTACGACAAATCCTAAAGAGGAGAAAGGAACCTGTTGTAGCATGGACGGTCGTCATGAGTCCCTCAACAATGCCAAATTCCTCGTTGACAACCTGCAGAGCATGAATCTATATTAGCATGTCAAGTGATGAGCAGTGATACTGCAGTGGCAGCACTGGAAGATACTTGACACCCAAAGGGCATGGAACACTAAAAAAACAGCTTGCAGAAATAGCTATGATTCGTACCTACTATATTCTGTGCAAATCCAGAAAAAAGAGAGAGACTATTTAGGGAAATAGGAAAAAAACCCTGGCAAGGGGAGCAAGGCAGTTTGTGGTACAACTTGCACTAGAGACAACATTCATACTGGGGTTGTAATTCTTCTCATTTACTCCAACCACAAACATAGGAGAATCTGCTGATGGAGCAGATATCACCACTTTCTTTGCACCACCCTATTAACAAACAGTGGAAATCTCATAATTATGATGCATGTTTATGGCAAATATTTTTCTTAATACATTATGTAATAAAATATGATGGCAGATATTTTATAGCTGATGTACCGAAGAAACAAAAAGTATGCTATGAATTCCCACCCAAAAAAGAAGAGTAAAAAAATCCAGCCCACATTTTGCTGGATCCTAATTATTAAATCAGCATTCTATGTCGCTAGGAACTTTTTAGAAACCTAAATGGTAAGGGAAAAAACCAAATAAAACTAATCATCATTATAGTGCTATAAGCGCTTGTATCATGACAGGTATGCAAACAACATAGAGAAGTACAAGGTGGCAAAGAAGACTGCAAAATGAGCGGTGAGTGAGGCAAAGGGGCGGGCCTATGAGGACCTTTACCGACGTTTGAGTACGAAGGAAGGAGAGAAAGACATTTATAGGATGGCTAGGGTTCGCGATAGGAAGACAAGGGAGTTCAACCAAGTCAAGTGCATAAAGGATGAGAGAGAGCCGCTCTTGGTGAAGGAGGATGAGATCAGACATAGATGGCAAGAGTATTTTGATAAATTGTTCAATGGTGAGAATGAGAACACCACCGTTCAGCTGGACGACTCGTTTGATGACACTAACAGGCGCTTTGTGCGGAGAATTCAAGAATCGGATGTCAGAGAAGCCTTGAAAAGGATGAAAGGGGGCAAAGCGATGGGCCCTGATGATATCCCAATCAAGGTGTGAAGATGCCTCGGGGATATAGCTATAGTATGGCTAACCAAGATGTTCAACAATATCTTTCGATCGAACAAGGTGTCTGAGGAGTGGAGAAGAAGCATATTGGTACCAATCTACAAGAACAAGGGAGATATCTAAAGTTATACTAATTATCGGGGAATTAAGTTGATGAGCCACACTATGAAGTTATGGGAGAGAGTCATCGAACAGCGTCCGCGAGGAACGACGCAGATATCAACAAACCAATTTGGTTTCATGTCCGGAAGGTCAACCAGAGAAGCAATCTTCTTAATAAGACAGGTTATGGAGCGGTTTAGAGAGCAGAAGAAAGACCTCCACTTGGTTTTCATTGACTTGGAGAAGATTTATGACAAGATACCAAGAAATGTTATGTGGTGGTCTTTGAACAAACATAAAGTCCCATCAAAGTACGTGACCCTCATCAAGGACATGTACAACAATGTTGTGACTAGTGTTCGAACAAACGATGGTAACACAGATTACTTCTCGATTAAAATTGGACTTCATCAAGGGTCAGCCTTAAGCCCGTATCTCTTTGCCTTGGTTATGGATGAGGTTACCAGGAACATATAAGGGGATATCCCTTAGTGTGTGTTGTTCACTGATGATGTAGTGTTAGTGGACGAAAGCCAGACGGGAGTAAATAGGAAACTAGAGTTATGGCGGTAGACACTTGAGTCTAAAGGTTTTAGATTGAGCAGAACTAAAACCGAATACATGAGATGCGACTTTGGTGGAGTTGTACAGGAGGAAGGAGATGTGAGTTTGGAAGGTCAAGTAGTGCCTAAGAAGGATACCTTTCGGTATCTGGGATCAATGCTACATAGGGATGAAGATATTGATGCGAAAGTTAGCCATAGAATCAAAGCAGGGTGGATCAAGTGGCGACAAGCTTCTGACATTCTCTGTGACAAGATTGTACCACAAAAGCTAAAAGGCAAGTTCTATAGAACGGCGATTAGACCGGCTATGTTGTATGGGGCAGAATGTTGGCCTACAAAGATTCGACATGTTCAACAACTGAGTGTTGCAGAAATGCGTATGTTGCGATGGATTTGCGGTCACACATGAATGGACCGAGTTCGGAACGATAATATACGTGATCGCCTAGAGGTAGCACCAATTGAAGAAAAGTTTGTCCAACATCGGTTGAGGTGGTTTGGCCATGTCCAAAGGAGACCTCCAGAGGTACCAGTGCATTGTGGAGTCCTAAGCCAAGCTAATAATATGAGGAGAGGTAGATGAAGACCGAAATTGACATGGAGGGAGACAATAAAAAGAGATTTGAAAGTTTGGATATACCTAGAGATCTATGTTTGAATAGGAGTACTTGAAAAGCAGCTATTGAAGTGGCTGAACCGTGACTTGGAGCTCTTGGTGGGTTTCAACTCTAGCCTACCCCAATTTGCTTGGGACTGAAAGGCTATGTTGTTGTTGATATTAGAGAGAGAGAGAGACAAGGAGTGGACACATGGTTATTCAGTCACTTGGGGTAGTTACATCAAATGGTTTCTATAAGGCTGTAAGCAAACCTTCAAATGTGCTGATGCTTTCTCGATTGTTGTAAAAGTCCAGACGATTCAACAACATATTCAGCTCCATAACTACACCAACAGATGTCTGAGGGATCTCTGGAATGGGTGATTCAAGTCCACAAAACAAAATCATCAGGGGAGAAAAGAGTTATGCAAAGTTAATATGAGTGACGTGATCACAAGAGAAGTATGTCACCATATTCCAGGAGAAAACCTTGGGTTACAAATTTACAACCTATGTGTATAGCTGTTGCCTTGTCCCAGTGGACATTAAGTACAAAGGACTTGCATCTTCTATCATTTTGCAGTTACAGGATGTCAATATATGTGTGTGACATGCTTGAACAACACTACCATACTAAACTGATCACTTAACAATAGGTACAGAGAAGATCATATCCTTCTTTGAAAATAAGAAATTCATTAACTGACAATACAAGGCCATACACTGGCTAATGACCAAAGATAGTCAGCACACGAGACTAGTTAGGACTTGGGTATTGGCTATTACCAGAATAGAATATCACAGGACACCAAAGATATTCTTTTTCACAATTTAAACTTACTAGTCAATCAATAAAGGAGAAGACACATTCAAAAATCAATATATATATCCAGTTTTTCTTTTACAGAAATTATGGCAGCTTATGTAAACTGCCTGAACTTTATTGAAAAAAAAGTTTATCATTACACAGATCATAGCGGCGGGTAGGCTTTGCAACCTGGGACCTTCCTGTTCTTACCTTTTGCTTGTAACTGAGATTTGCTTCCCATTAATCTCCAAGGTTGACGCATTGACAACCTTTATGGAGCCTTTGAATGGACCGTGCGTTGAATCGTACTTGAACATATAAGCCTGAAATAGGACAAATATCACGAGGTTGATTACAGTTACAGTTTAGACAAGTCCCTTCTTTGCGATTAAGTGTAGAAGATAAAATGCAGTGGATCAAAAAGGAAATGGAATGTACAACAGGACAAATGACAGTAAGAAAGGTTTTGGGACGATTATTTTGGTAATCAAGCCTAACAGAGAAATACAACTCCGCATTGTAGAAAGCAAGATACACTTTAAACATGTAACAAACATAATTCCAAATTGCATTTTTGCTTTCTTACCATGTACTTAGCATCAATGAAAGGATCGTTAACAGACACAACTTCAATGTCATCTCTACTAGTTGCAATTCGTAGAACCAGTCCTCCAATTCGTCCAAATCCTGCAATAAGAAACAAGAGAGTAATATTAGAACTGAAGACATGAATTCTGTTTAGCAACGACTGAAGACTGAATTTAGAACGAGAAACAATTTAACCTCTCCTACAGAAATGATAAAGTGAACAAGGGTTCAGTTCAACATTGGAATTGATCATATTGGGTTTCTGAGTTTAAGGGAGGAGCGCACCATTGATGCCAACCTTTATCTTTTGCCCACTGGAAGATTCTACAAAAGAAAAAAAAAGTGTAAATTGTATGAAAAAAACACTGCAGGTTGCCAAAATCTAGGTACTTACGAGGGGTGACCGTGGGAGTTTGTGTGGCTGTAGCTCTTATTGGCTCAACGCTTCTAGCACTGTTCACAAGACATTGAAAAAGAATAACACTGTGTCACGACTAAAATGTGAGCATGTGACGTTGATCATCTGCATTCACCGTGTGTGCTTACTGCTTAGGGTAGTGAAGTCACAACACCGATAACCTGAGACACCACACACCAGTGATTGGACAACATTTGTGGCATAAAGCGCATATTTGTTCGGCAACTCGATATCAGATGGCACCAATTTCATGGCCAATGGAACGAACAAACTCAGAGCAGAAAGAGAAGGCACTCACTGTGACGAAGAAGCTCCAATTGCAGGGAAGCTGCAGCTGATCTTGCTCCTCACGCACGACACCTGCACACATGACACCAGACGAATCGCAACTCAATAAAGGTGATTTTTAGATGAAACAAGGTGAGCACGCTAAGTGTTGTTGAAGCTAAAGCAATAGGAACCGATCCTGAATTCAGAGAATTATGAACACGTTGAGACTAAAACACCGTCATAGAAAAAGAGTCATATACATTACATGGAGTCGAGTCAAGTGAAGGCTTGAGACAAAACAGAGGGGAAAAGAGAGGGAGGGAGAACAGAGAGATCGGGGTGGGAAATGCGACCTTGGGGGGGTCGGCGTGGCGGGACCCCGCGGCGCCGCCGGCAGCCGGGGAGGCGGAGGCACGGAGGGAGACGGACAGCGACGCCATGCGGCCCGGCGGCGCCTGAGGCCCCGGTGGTGGAACGGAGGCGGAGGCGGAGGCGGAGGCGGAGAGGTGGCGGAATGGTGCTTGTGCAGTTGTCCGATCGAAAGGGGCGAGCTTTCTAATGCGGCTGGCGCGGTGCTGCCAGCTGCCCTCGTCTGCGTCTCGCCCTCTCGGCGGAGTTGCCTGTGCCTTCAATTCTTCATCATCTCAGTTAGGACCTGTATGAGACCGGCTCCTGCCTGTCGGCCGCCCACGCGCCTATAGGTGCCAGCGAGTTCCAGAACGGCAGACCCTGAAAAACAAGTTTGTAGACAGACAGGTGAACAGTGCAGGGGCCGGAGCCCGCGAGAGCCCCGCCAAACAGGTCCAGTAGTAGTACTCTTTTTTATTTTCAATTTCTTCTGCAGAGTATTTCGTTGCTTGGAGGTTAGAGCGACCGAATTCATGGCTACTTTGAGAAGATTTGCCATGGTTTCTAGGAAAATCTATGGAGATAATTTCTTATCTGACACCAGATAAATGATACGTTCTTTTCTTGGCCCTCAAAAAATTTTCATTCTCTATTTAACATTGAGTTCAACTTTTATTCCTTATACGACACTCCGTTGGATTTTCCATCCGTGAAACGTTAACTGCCATGTGAAAAGACGATTTTGCCCCTGTCATTTGTTGTAGAGTTCATCTAGAGTCATTTGAGCAAGGTTGCAAGGTTTGGTGAACAATCTAGAATTCCATTCACTTTATAAAATGATCCAAGCAAGGACATAACTTGTCATTTCATGTGACTTTTTGATTCCAAACTTCATGAAACTTTTCGAGTGCCCAATATAGATGGGTATTGATGTGAGACACATGAAGATATCTCAATCACACCACCCAAGCATATATCTTGAAAAGGGTCTATAAAACGAAGCACAAAAAGCCATATCCAAGTTTAGGTTGGGGCTCGTTTCTATAGGTTTGACCTTGACATCTTCATCATCACTTAATATACCATGTTTTAGCTCAACCCCATTGCTTAACTAGTGGCAAACACTGGGGTGTTACAGCCCTCCTCCTTAAAGAATCGCGTCCGAGATTCGGAGACGAAAGACTTTTATGGAAGAGAGACATGCTACCGGTTTCCGATATCAGCGATAGCTTTAGGCTACATAGCTTCAAGCATAAGAGAGGCTAATTGGGTCAAGACACTTTCTGATACTTGTCCTTCGTAGTAAGTTTTGTCTGAAGAATTTCCTTTGTTGGCCTTTATGAAGTATTGTTACTTTGGGAGGAATCCAAGATAGCAATGTCCTCTCGTGCCGGCCCCTCGATGTACGAAGAGCGATACAAACATAGACTAAATACTTGCAAAGATCTACTTCCCAAGTGGATATAGCATGCACCATATGGACTTTGCACTAGACCGCAGTCGGTTGATGGATATTCCTTGCAACGGTGCTATATTTGCTCCCAAAGTTTGAAAAGCAGTTCTCTATTAAAGTGGCTTGAGCACAACTTCTCGTAAAGGATGTGATCATAAACGGGTAAACGTCCTTTGAGGGTATGAGAAGCTAGTTAACCAATATCCAAATTGGTTGTAGCGATGCAATCACTCAAATGTCAACTGATGGAAGGCTACATAATGTTCCATGTGCGATGCTCTTTTTTTAATAACAATATTGTATGGTCTCGAGTCTCACTTGAGTGAGTGGTAAACATAGTAGGCGACTCTGTCGGCTCAACATTCTCGATGATCATTCCTTAGGGAGCCTTCGTATCCAAGTTGCAACAAAGTGATCCGGGTTGAATCTCGATGCAACCTCTTGGGTAAAAACACATATAAGGTACCAAAGGCATGTCAAAGATTGGAGAACCATTGACGCAGAAGGATGTTAGCGAGGCTTGGAGGACAACACAAGTTGCAAGTAATCACAAAACTAGGGACTAGTTCACTACCAAGCAGGTTGAGCACAATTTTGACTTCTAGAACACCTTGACCGTGTTGCTAATCTTGACGTCAATTACAAACACAACTTTCTAAAGTAAAGGATGATCACAGTCAATAGAGAAATTGCAGATTCTATACCCTTTTGTTTGCTGTTCGTAACTCACAATCTACAGCTCCATTATGCATGAATTTTGGTAGGCATACAGATCCATGAGTCTTCTAAATACTCACCAAAATTCAACTCAAACGGACACCGTTTGACCATCCAAACAATTCATCTACCAAAACTGTTGTGTTCTGAAATGGCAGCAAACCGAGCCGACAAGATATCTCTCAAATCCGATGTTTTACTCAACCAATACTCCAACAAACTCAAGGCATCGACCTGTCCTAAGTGAGGAATGAGGTCACCAAAATTTGAGGCCCTTCCAACCACGTTTGAGTCACTAATTGCTGGCTTGAAGATAACCAATTTTTGTGTCACAAAAGCTGGACAGATTTCTTGTTCTTCCTTTTCTTTGCTTCACACGTTGAGGTGTGTGTTTTGCACTCTCTAATATTTCTCATAGTAGCAGCAACTTTTCTCTAGCCGAGGATGGAGGCTATAGTCTTCCTGTCATGCTTCTTAGGTAACAATTTCCGCCGTTGATCTAGACACCAACTTGACGATGCACAAGCATTGGACTTGTGGCTGTTTTCATAGGGCACAAAACATTATTCCACATGTAGGGCATTTCTACATTGACAAAGAACCATTCCTATATATCCTTCGGCACTTCATCCAATAGAGTCTGGGCATATGTGTAATTGGCACCTTGGGGCACAAAGATGCTGACTAAAAACTAGTGACGTGCTTTCGCTAGCTCCTACCTAGCCGATACAACGTCTTGTACTATATACGTGATTGTCCATGATGGAATTGACTTGATAGCACATTTGGAGAAGAAGTAGCACTTGCATTGCGGGGCCGAGTTTGTTTGCTTCCTTGATCAACATTGTTCTATGAGATCTGGCCTTCATAGTTACCAAATAGTCGTTACTTAACCAAGACTAACTTTCCTCATCGTAACAAATCGCTTGTCCCTCAACACTAAAAAGGTTCCAAATCTTTACTCTTGACAATAAAAATTTGTGGTCGAAGCCTCATGATGGTCGCCATTGAAGTCGCTGAGAAAGGGGTCACACCAAAGAAGGTCGGTTCGTCTACGTGATCCTTATGCACCTAAAGATTGAGAACTTGGATAGGAACTCATATATATCAGGTGACCTATCACAGCACATAATATCCTGGTCCATTTACCTTTCGACTGATAACTTGTTCAACCTTAAGTGTGGTGCACCTTTCTGATCCAATGAAAATGACATAAGTTGCTCACTAGATGATCGACGTCATTATAGGGACAGTCACGTCGAGTAGAGTTACTTGTCTACCCTCTTGCAGTCTGTTTATGTTCCTGTTAGTGACCTATTCTTCAAAGGTTAACCGTTGGACGACTTCACAAGGGAGTCCTATTGCATCTAGTTCGACATATAGATCGCTTGACATGATAAGGAGAGATAACCAAGGAAGAGCTCACGTGAAAATAACATGTCGATGTAGTTCTGTAATGGATCATGACTAGAAACCTCGATACCAGCGCGTGCCGAGCAGCACAGCCTTGTGTGTGCACCCACAGGGGCTCTCGGTTTCGTCGCGGCACCATAGATCGCTAATCGTGGCACCATTACTGAACATACAACCCATAAGAAATCTCACATGGCATAAATTGGGTTGCATAGGAGCAAGCACTATGCAAAGGAGGGATAGCAAACAAAGGTAGTCACAAGGTTAGGAGTCAACAAGCAGGGGATCTGAAGATTAAAACACAACGCAAGGGAGCATAGCTTAATTGCCAAAGACAACTGAGCAGGGGACTTCTTGCCAAATTTCCATATACGTCTTGTGTCCACCAAGTGATTACCAAAACTTGGACGTGGTTCTAGGATAGCGCTCTTCAACACTCGTATGCTTACCGAGGACAAAAGGGGTGATAACTATGTCACTAATTAGATAACAAGCATACATACCCACCACTTGGCTAAACTAGAGGACATTATAGGTTAAGCATGTAACCACAATTATTTCTAGCAAGGCTAAGCACACACTTTTCTCAAGCACTTCCTATTCAAGCAACATGGAACAAGGCATTCTTGTTTAACTCCACACAAGGAAGATAGTGCAATACATCGATCACAAGTTACTTAGTACTCAGAACAAAGGAAGGGAAGCATATTTATGCACAAGCACAATCATGATGCATGCTCGTCCTATTCGTCCTCACGAAATTGCCAGCCTAAGGTGGCAATCATGTTCTATGTCGGTGGCATAACACATACTCTCTTGATATATAGCTAGTCGTCAGCTACATTCAATCTACGCATTTGTGGTTAGCGTACCTACAGGCAAATTCATTGCAGCCCATCCCCACAAGAGATAAATAAGCGCACAATGAAAACAGTAAACTAAGATACTCTCCATATATACATCCCCAGATGTATATACTTTGATATCCATAGCTACCCGATAAATATACCCGCAATTAAGTACCTTCATATATACATGTGTGTAACATGTAAATATTCTAGTAGCCACAGCTAACTCTCCCTTAGACCGACAGTTGGACGGTCATGCTCTCACAACTCACACTTACCTGGGCGTAGAGGCAATTGATCCATACATTACCATTCAAATGAACGGCATCCATACAATAGCACGCCGTATGGACGCATTTAAAGTAAAATTGTAATAAAGTACATCTCCCAAAGTTAGTACTTAGATAGCCACCTAATAGTCCTTATATGGGCATAAAGGAGGATGTCGCTAGCATAGTTTTGCAAATAAGTTTTGATAAATTTGCCTGTAGCTAAAGTTTTAGTTAAAATAGACCTTTTAAAACCAAAACTTGGCTTTTAAAACTATGTACCTGACAGTATTATGCTTAATCTCGCTTTGATACCAGCTGTGACAGAACCGCCCAATTTATACAAGATCAAGTACGGTTGTCCCCGCTAACACGTTGACACACCCATACTT